GGACGCTACCTCAATCCTTCCCATGCCGACTGGCTTGATCTCTGCCGTCGGCTGATCGCTGGAATCTTCAACGACGCCACAAGACCGCGCTCGCTTCGACTGCTTGTGCTCCGATCACTACGGGAAACTAACAATGCTGTCGAGATGCTGTGTTCCAGCGAGATAGTATCGCAGTCAGAAGAACTCCTTCTGGGCCGGGTTGAAACGGAAGATGACATTGAAGTCCTGCAGGAACTAGTAGATTTCGCGGTCTACGTAGCTGATCGAGAATCCACCGCCCGGTTCTCCGAGATTGTTCAAGTCTTACAGCGGCGTCTGGACCGCCCACGGAGTGCATCTACACCTTCGCTACCGTCATGGCAGTCTCACCAATTTCTTTTCAAAGAAGATGGATGCTCCCCTTGTAACGTCATTGCCACCGCCTATGTACGGCTTTTCACTCGGAGCGTGACACATTCGGCCCAAAAGACACGCATCCTTTACGAGCTCCTAAGACAAATTGCTGGAAGAGATGCATACGCGCATGATGCACGCCTTACAGCTCTCAAGTTACTCTTTCGTTTGCGCGCCGACGCTCGCCATGCCTTAATAGTCAGCTCTTCTTCGGAAGGTCAGCGGATTGCCGCGGAGCTCTGCCGCACAGAGGAAACAGCTATCGCACCAGAGAAGTTTGAAGACCCCCCGACAGCCGATCACAATAGATCAGAAGATACTTCGTCGTGGCGGGACCAACGCAAGACCTCTGGTTCAAGTCCTCGTTCTTCTCTCAATCGCCACACTGTCCGCTCGACCGCTCCAGCGGGCCGTGTATCAAAGCCGATACCTCCTTTATGGATGTACCCTGGCCCCAAAGGACTTCCCGAGGAGCCGCCATCCGACTCTAGTCGAGTCGTCTTCTCCCACATCGATGCGGAGAAATACCCTCTCAGTGATGATATCCTGGACATGGAAATCACATTGTGGCTGGAGTTGATCATCTCACTCCTACAACGACCACCCGATTGGGAGATCTATAGCTACGTACTCGTTCATCTTGGGCCTCAGCTCTCCAATCAAGCGTTGGTCCGCAGCTGTGTTGCCCAGCTCAAAATGTTACGAAACGTTCTCTGCGAACAAGTACGGAATGCGAGCTTCCACGAACCTCCGCCGCACACGCTCTTGAAAAAGGCTGATGTTGCCGTCTGCCTATTCCATATACTGACAATCATCATCAGCTACCACGAGTACTTCGAAAAGAGCGAGGAAGATGATCTTGTAAAGGCCTTTCTACAAGGAATCGTGCAGTGGGACAGAACATCAAAATGGTGCATCCACGCACTCTCAGTCTGCTGTTTCGAAATCCCGCTGTCGGTCAGCAAGTCACTCGATAGCATCGTCCAGAAGATGTCGCAAATCATCACGAAGCCAGCTACAGCGATACACATATTGGAATTCCTTACATCCTTGGCTCGTCTTCCAGAACTCTTCAAGAACTTCCGCGAAGACGAGTTCAAGCTAGTTTTCGGCGTATGCTTCCGGTACCTACAACACATACGCGACCAACGCGACCGGACAGCGAACGGGCATTCGCTACAAAGCGGGCATCGGACGTTGCGACACAGCGGCGCATCAAGAGACTTTGCGGCATCGCCCGATCCTGGGGCCAACAAGCCAAGAAGCGTCGAGGACGACCTGCCCCAGTATCTGTATTCCCTCGCGTATCACGTCATCACATTTTGGTTCATGGCGTTGAAGATGGAGGATCGCCCAAAGCAGATACCATGGATCACAAAGAATCTACACTATACCGATAGCTCCGGACGGCAGATCATGGAGGAGCAAGGACAGGTCATTCTAGACATTATGAACATGGTAGCATACACAGATCGGGATGAAACAACACGGGAGGAAAGTTCTTTCAAGCCTGGTGATGGAGAGGTGTGGAAGAAGACGTGGATTATCGGCAATGCTCTTGTGACGATAGAGACCGCTGCAAGAACCGGTGCTTCTGTTGTTACGACACGTCGGCCAGTAAGTCTTCCGACTTGTGTATTGTCAGTACATCTACTAACTGCTGGCAGTGCGGTACCCGTTTTATCAAAGTACGGCCCTTAATCACATCGCCACCACGACATCAAGTTCCGATCACTATCGGCCTCGCTTCCCAAGCATTCTATTCCGACACATATGTCGGAATTCTGCCAGACGACATCTTCCAGTCATTTTACGCCCCACTCGACCTGAGCAATCCACCCATTCCCTTACCCGATGACGAGCCGACACGCCGTGCCATTGCTGTATTCGACCGGATTGCAACGGTTGACAACTACAAAATAGGTGTCATTTATATCGGCGAGGGCCAGACGAACGAGAGAGACATCTTCATGAACGATATGGGATCCCCAGCGTATACTGCTTTCCTTAGTGACCTAGGTACATTGTGCCGTCTGAAAGGGGCGAAGTTCAATACTGGTGGTCTCGACACACGCGAAGACAGGGATGGCGAGTTTACCTATGCTTGGCGGGACCGCTGCATGGAGCTTGTCTTCCATATTCCTACAATGATGCCGACAAACCCCGATGACGATATGACATATCCAAACAAAAAGCGACACATTGGCAACGACTTTGTCAACATTATCTTCAACGACTCCGGCTTACCTTACAATTTCGACACATTCCCGTCGGACTTCAATTACGTACACATTGTCATTTCTCCAGAGTCAAGGGCCAGCTTTGTCGACCGTCGACTGGACGCAGATCCCGACGGCAGGAATCGCTACTACAAGATCCAGACCATCTCAAAGCCAGGGTTTCCCGACATATCCCCTGCCGTCGAGACCAAGATTCTTTGCGGAAAGTACCTTGCAGACTACTGCCGCCTCATGGCTATTAATGCGGTTGTCTTCGCCAGTGTTTGGTACATCCGCGAGGGTGGCGATTCCATATCGTCCTGGCGTAACCGACTTCGCGAAATTAAGCGTCTCCGAGAACGCTATGGCGCGAACGATGCTCTACCAAGCCACCCACCACCTTCATCACCTGCAGGTAGTCAGGGTTTGTCAAGTCCGCCGTCTCGCGAGCAAAACCAAATCTCGCCATTCCAGCGCATGAGTATTGCGACGCATATCACCGATGGGACTAGTCGCAGTTCCATCAGTAGCTCTTCGCACGATGTTTGATACTGTAGACCAAAAGTTGTTTGTTTCCGGTGTTGCGACAAGTCTTACACTATACATATACCCAGGGGTTTGATGACCTCACAAAAGTTTGCTGATTTTTCGGTATCATGACAAGGAGATTGAGTACTAGCATTGCGTGGAGTTGCTGGTGAGGCACAGGCCTATGTCAAAACGTTCTATTTGCTTCTACTATATTGTATACGACGAAAGACGACCGATGTTTCGGTTATGAGTTACAGAAATCAAAATCATGAGTTACGTGTCTGTAGAATATCTCAAAGACTGCATTATAGATACTTGCAGTATCAGCAGTATCAGCAGCATCGTGCACTTTTTTTTTTGACATAACAAGTAGATTGTGCCTTTCCACCAATGTCGATATGTCGTGCTTCGGCATGCATACCCACTTCAGGATGGCAGATCCCCCGCCAAGGCCTATAGTACCCGAAATCGCATCTGAGGATTCCACCTCGAGCTCGAACTTCGCAACTTTCACAACGCGACAACATGGCTGCTCCGAGACTGCCGTTCCTATGGCCTATGCTATTCCAGCCGACCAAATCCTCACGAGTAGGCGCGTCGATAACAAGAGAGCATGCATCGCCATCTGTTTCCCGCACGCGACGAGCACGTCGTCATCTCACAACTTCGCCCCGCCGATCGGAGCCACCGAGCACACAACGATATGGAAAGGCATATGAGCACGCAGCTCCAGAATTGGATCAGGAGCCCCCAAAAGAGCCTCAAGAAAAGGAGCCTACCACCAACGAGAAACCCCCGCAAGATCCCGTTCACGAACACGAAGAAGTAGAGGAAGATGCGCCAACCGCAACAACAAGCCCTGCCACACCCACTCAAGCAAGCGCAACAGAAGAAACCGCTCCGCCAACAACGCCCGCACCTGATCCTCCCAAGAAAAGCGATACGAAACCCGTCGACAGCGTCCTGCACATTCCCACCGCCGCTGAAGAAGAGTCACACAAGGCACCGCACTTGAAGACACCGCCATATGTCCACCATTTCGACACCTACGGTCTTGTGCGCAAGCTCTCGCAATCCTCGTATACCCCCGAGCAATCCATCACCATAATGAAGGCTGTGCGACAGACGCTTTTGGACAACATGGCGTTGGCGCGTAAGGAGCTCGTCAGCAAGAGTAACGTGGAAAACGAAACCTACCTCTTCCGAGCTGCGTGCAGTGAATTGAAAACGGAGATAGGCAACGCGAAGAAAGGCGAGATGGAGAGGATGCGCACAGAAAGAGGGCAGTTGCAACACGAGGTCGATATTCTAGGACAGAGATTAGGACAGGAGACGACTCATCTTCGAGACGAGCTTAAGGGGCTTTTCGATGACAGGAAGATGGCTGTTAGGCAGGAGCAAAGGGTCATGGAGACTAAGGTATGTTCAATCCGCTTCCTCACCGGCGCAACCTCCTAACATGATTGTTCCTTAGATCCAAGAACTCAACTACAAGATCACCGTCGCCCTCAACTCTGACGCGCGATCCGAGGTTGAAGGTGTCCGCTGGGTGCTCACCCGCCGCGCTGCCATCACAGTCGGTGTTAGTGCGTTCATGCTTTTCGTTGCGCTACGGTATACGAGCTACGTGCAGCACCAGCTGCAGGAAGAGAAGAGGAATAAACCGCCGCCGCATCGACCGAGTCCATTGGAGAGTTTGGCAGACAACACCACAACGGCCAGTAGACCGGTTGTCATTCCTGCAAGTCCTAGCCAAGAGGATGCGCTGGGCGGAGAGCTTCTGGCTACCGAGGGTGTGTCGTTAGGCTAGGCACCATAGCATCAGGAAATGTTGATTCCAAATGTTAATGAGGCAGATGTCTCCAGATCCGCAATGTCCTACTCTTGCGATGTTTCATTCGCGCTACATGTGATACTATATCCCTTTCATTTCAAAGCCTACAACTTATGCTTCTTCTCCCCACTCGCCAACCGCGCAAACTCCTTCTGCGGCACGCCCTTCAAAAACCTCTGCAAGCCCCCCATCACCTCCTCCACGCCCTGCCGATCCAACGCCTCCCTATACGGCTTCTGAATCAACTCTTTGATAAGCACCAGACTCTCGCTGTTGAGATGATCACCCAATCTCTCCTCAACCTCCTTCCTGACCTCTCCAAGGAACTTGTCACTGTAGCTTTCATCCTTGACATCGACGCCAGCGTTGATGACTTTGTTGACGAAGCCTGTGGCTACCAGTTCATCGCACGTGATGCGTTTCGACATGATGAGCGCCTCATTCGCCTTCGAAATGCCCAGTCGTCGCACAAATCCTATACTCGCATTCCCCTCTGCCACCAAGCCCAGCGACGAAAACGGCGTAAGCAGAAACGTGTGAGGTGCCGCATACACGAAATCCGAAAACGCGATCAGCGCCGCGCTCAATCCAACTGCAGGTCCATTCAGCGCCGTGATGAGTATCTTGGGGTGTGTGTAAAACGCATGTGTGATGTGCAGGTTGTTGGATACAAAGGACTTTAAGTACTGGTGGCGCTCGTCGATGGCGCTGCTGTCGGTTGTGGAGCCAAACGTTACGTCTGCGCCTGCGCTGAAAAAACGGCCGCGGCCTGTGAGGATGGTAATGTAGATGTCGTCTCGGGCAGCGACCTCGTTCATGGCGCGTGCGAGCAGGTAGTAGGTGTCTGCATCGAGGGCGTTTAGCTTTTTGGGCACGTTGAGGGTTATTATGGCGGTTTTGCCGGAGTAGGTGAGGAGAATGGGGGAGTTTGGGTCGGACATGATGGATGGATGGATTTGCGTGTTTGGTTGGAGATTGGAGAGTTGAGGTGTTGGTTATGGTGTTCAAGCTGGACGTATTCTTGGGTGAGACGTTGGTTATGTTAGTTGGAGTGCTTGGGAGATTCTTAGTTGAGATGTCAGTGAGCCGAGGCTAGAATGCGGAGACGGGATAGGCATTGTTAAGACAACCGAGCGCGACAGAATGGATTGATGGGGTGTAGCAGTTGGTCTTCACTGCCTGATGGAGACAAGAATACAGCTTCGGTGTTGGAGTAGCTTGGGGTCAGACCCGGTTCACAGGATTCCAAGTTGCAGGCACATGTGAAGGTCACGGCTTCCCCAGCTTCGAAGTGGGGGAACGCGCGTGGAGGTAGGGCTGACGATTAGATCTAACCTCTTATCGCCGAACCATCACCGATCAGATCTGCGAAACTTCGACTTCATCATCACTCCACTCAAGCGCGAAAGTCTCCGGAGTGCGCCGCAAATACCACACGACGTCGACTATATACCGCAAAGATGGGAGGCCCCAACCTCGAAGTGTTCAAGGTACGTAGAGGAGATTTCTACAGCGCCTCGCGCATCTCTGTCGAAAGCGACTACACCAATAATTCCACTTGCATTCCACTTGCATTCGGCTCAAACCAAACCTGACGCTCTCGCACACGCACTGACCAGACCTACCAGTTCGGAATGTACATCCTCTTCCCAATCAGCATCATGTACTACTTCGGCACGAACCTCGACGGCAAGTTCACTGTTCCCGATTTCTGGCCCAAGCCAGGCCAAACGCACAAGATTCCGTACGATAGAGATGAGATTGCGAAGGAATTGGAGAGACTGAAGCAGCGAAATTTGGAGAACAAGAGGAGGAGGGAGGAGCAGGAGAGGTTGAGGGAACTGGGCACCGGCAGAGAGGAGTAAAGAGGGCCGAGACAAGCACAATAGATGCACACGAACATCACCCTACGACAGGCACCGAGCCACGAACACGAACGAACGAGAAGTCACGATCTGAGGTGGTGGATATTTGCTGAGAGATACCAAGCGCGAAGACACAGCTCGTTCTGCGCCGCTATTGGCGTTATTGTACAATACTGTATACTACAAATGTACACCATACTGGGGAGTCAGACAGAGATCACGCGGTGGCTTTACCTCTGATCTCCTCCCAGACATCATCTCCTATGCTTCCCTTGGTCCAATTCATATACACGCCCTGTACACCCTGCACTTCCTGCAGCTCATCCAAGAAGCTGCCCAACTCTTTAGCTGCGCCCTCGTCCTCCAAAGGCACCTTTGTATCCTCATTAGGGTCATAGATGATTTCGCTCTCCTCGATTTCTAGGTCTAGCTCCTTCGCTAGTCTCTCTGCCGTCTTGTTCGTCAACGCAGGCTCAGTGTATAACACGACTCTTCCCTCGGCGTCTTCGTCTACATCTAGCACGCCGGCTTCAAGGGCTGGCTCTAGCACCTCGTCCACGCCTACCCCATCTTTCTTCCGTATTATTATCCGTCCCTTCTTTTCAAACATGAAAGCTACGGTGGAGACGCTGCCGCCTGCCTCTTTTATCAGGAGTCGTAGGTCGGCTAAGGTGCGCAGCTTGTTGTCTGTTTGGCATTCTATTATTGTGGCGATGGAGGGCGGCAAGATGGCTTCGAGCAAGAGTGATTCGAGAGCGGCGCCTGATGCGGAGAGGCCCTGTCCACGGGCTATTGCTGCTTCAATAGAGGCTTTTGGTACGGCAGACTTCTTCGCGGTGGAGATTGCGAGGGCGAGGCGGGGGTTCATGTCGGGATTCGCGCCAGCGAGCTTGACGGCGTTGGTGATATCGCGGGTCATGATAGACCGTTGCTTGGACTTGCCAGCGTCGTTTTTGGCTTTGTCATGTTTGATAGAAGACCACTTGCTGTAGTATGTTAGCTGTGTGCCATTGGATTCCGAGTACGACGTACGAGTGGCCTGATTGTAGATTTGGGGTGGTGCTCAGGCATCGCACCTGCTCTTGTATGCGCCACTGTCTCGGGCGAGAGAAATATCTACATGAGCAGCATGTCGCATTCTCCTTGGAAATAGCGGATGAGACTGCACGACGAAACGGGACAGACATGGGGACTGATATGGGTTGTTAACTCCCAGTAGTACAAAAGTTGGAGATGCGTGCCTGCCAAGACGGGGGTCCGCAACTCCCACATGCATCCACCGGCATCTCCACACTGGACATCTGTCACGTCGAGACTCCCTACGACATGAGCAGCCGAATGCGATAACTGCGATAACTAGACCGACGTCGCGCGATCCCCTCACCAACCATGGCAGCAGACGAGCCAGCCGCGGACAAAGGCCCCTCCAACCCTGAACTCGACATCAAGAAGCTCCACGCGCTACCTTCGGAGCAGCAAGACCTGTACTTGCTGACCTTCAGCTCTGATCTCGCCCGCCATGTGGCTTCCTTAGATGGCGACGGCGCCTCGGCCCACCAGATATACATCAAGAAGGAGATATTCCAGATCGTCAATCTCGCGTCCCCCGCCCCCACACGAGTGATCCGAAACAACCTGGGACGAGCAATTGCGGGCATATTTGAGAAGGGAGACAGGAAGCTGCTGTTTGAGTCTATCAATGATTCCGTCGGCATAATCAACGCGGCAGGAAAGAGCGAGAAAGATGTTAGGACGAAGCACGCAGCTGTGCATTGCTTGGGCGCCATCTTCGAGGCAGCAGGGGATAGTGCTATAGGGCTGTCTCCACTGGCTGTCAAGTCGCTGCTGGGCCTTGTCAAATTCTCGCAGAACTACACCGGACTACGAGCGGCAGTATTCAAGGCTGTGGGCAAGGTCTTCAAAGGCGTTAGCTCGCACGCCGATGAACTCATTGCGAGAGATGCCTGGAAGCAGGCGCGCAATGCTGGCAGCGACAAATCATACCTCGTTCAGACAGCGGTATTCTATTGTCTGGAACAACTACTCCGGCACACGACCTTTTTCGACAATTCGAACGACTTCGATAAATTGCAGAATGTGGCTTGGAAAGCGATTGATAGTCCTTCATCATCCGTGAGGCGCGCTGTTGCTTCGTGCATCAGCGCTGCGCTGGTAAAGAACTACTCTGAGAACGCGCCAGTTGAACTTCCCATCCTGGGCATTACCCGTTCGTCGACCGCGCAGAAGAAAAAGAAGAATAGAAAACCGGGCGATGACGACGGTGACGATGTGGTTATGGAACGCTCAGAGTCCCCGGCACCCAAGAAGTCGGCTTACCAACTCTCGTTCACTATTGCGAGTCTTCTTAAATTGCTAGCGACACAGTACTGTCGGCCTCAGACTGGCAATCGCGCACGAGCTGGAATTGCCATGTGCTACATCAAGACCATCAAGGGGCTGGGCGAGCAGATCGTCGAGACCAAGTATCCAGAGATCGCGCGCAGTTTATTCACGGACATTCTCAGCAACAATGTCATCGTACAAAATCGCTACCGCACACTTAGCACTAGGAAGTTCGTCGCCGTCATACTGGAAACAGTCATAGGTCGCGAGATGCTTGGAGAATCTGGCCAACTTAATGCGGCAAGGTTCTTGGTCAACGAGATATTGAAAGACTACCCCCAGGCGCTCAAGGAACGACCAGAGCCAACGAAGCAGACTTTGATCGGAGCCTTGAGTACGCTATCCTCACTCTTCAATAGTTTGGGATCGGCCACAAACGTCATTGCGGACTCCTGTCGCGATGCCCTGCTCCAGGTCTTACAGCATCCGAGTTACACAGTTCAGGTGACCGCTTCCGCCTGTCTGCGCTCTTTTGTGCTTGCATGTCCTCTTCAGTTGCTTCCAGCGGTCACGATTTGTATGAACAGCGTCAACCGAGAACTTGGCCTCCTTGCCGGGCCAAGGCAATCACCCAGGAAGTGCGTCGGTCTGGCTAATGGCCTTTCTGCTGTACTCAGCACGTCCACGTCTCAACCACTCCATGGCTCCGTAGATGTAAACTCGAGAGTACTTCAACAAGCCACTTCACTACTCAAATCCGCGAGCAACTCAGATCTAAGGATTGGATCTACCCAGATTCAGGTCGCATGGATCCTGATCGGAGGCTTGATGACTCTCGGCCCGAATTTTGTTAAGATACATCTTTCCCAGCTGCTCCTGTTGTGGAAGAATGCGCTACCAAAACCGCTGAACAGAGACAATATGGTGCAAAGGAACTACTTGGAACTCTGCTTCCTAGCACATGTTCGGGAGTGCGCTTTAGGCTCTATCCTGACCTTCTTGGAGTTCAACAGCCGCATTTTGACGCTTGACGTTACCAAACGGCTGGCTGCGATGCTGCAAAATACAACAATGTTTCTGAACACCTTGCCAGCTAAGAAGACGACGGATGATATGTCTCAACGTCTGTCACCCGCCCTTCAACTTCACGACTTCGATCTCATGGTACGAAGGAGAGTTCTTCAATGTTACACTAAACTTGTGGAATTGAGCCCGGCAAGCAGCCATGAGGTGTTACTTCAGACAAATTTGTTACCTTTCGCCATTGCATCGTTCGCAGAGCCGGACAACTATACCACAAGCTCGTTCAGTACCGCAATCGCAAGTGCTGCAGGAACGTTCGAAAGCATATGGGAGGTGGCTGACAACCATGGCTTCGGTGTTACTGGACTGGTGCGCGGTTTCGACATCACCCCTCTCCCTGGAGAGCAAGAGACGGGTACCCACCATCACTGGCTCACGAGGCATGGGCCTGAGTCGATTATTGACCGCACGGTATGTATCCGCTAGTTTCTGCGGAGATCGTTATTGACGCAGACCAGCTTCTGTCACCCATCTGCGGTGCTCGTGAACACGATTCGATATCGTTATACATTAGGACATCAGACGAGAGTCATGAGCTTCCTGACCCACCAGCGACTGAGGTTGTCAACTCGGCACTTCAGTTGTTTGCGATCTGCCTACCACTCCAGACTGCTAGGATCCAAGAAAGCATCTTGGAGCAGATGACATCCTTCTTATCTGCAAGTAGCCTGCAGCGCGATATCAACAGAAAGACTGCCATGATGGTCAATATTGCATATGCGGTGCTGTCTGCTCTGAAGGTTGCAGTCAAGGAGACCCGCTCGGCTCCAGGAAGCCTGAAAGGACCAGCGGTCGAGAAGGTTATGCAGGATCTGTTGCATCTTTTTGTTATTCTCCCCGATCCATTCATTCGCAACCTTGCCGGTGAAGCATTGGGACGTCTGTGCAATAGCTCTGGAAACGCCCTCACGACTATCGAGGTCAATTATCTGGTCGACCAGATTGTTGCTAACCGGGAACCCAATGCTCGTTCCGGTTATGCTGTCGCGCTTGGCTGTATTCACTCTCAGCTCGGCGGCATGGCTGCTGGCTTCCATCTCAAGAACATACTCGGAATACTAATGTCGCTCGGCAACGATCCCCATCCAGTCGTGCACTTCTGGGCCATCGACAGCCTATCAAGAGTTGCTGACTCCGCCGGTCTCTCTTTCTCCAGCTACGTCACCAGTACGCTCGGCATGCTAGCGCAACTGTATGCTTCTGACACACACAATGATGAGTCGATATCTCCTGCATACTCAAACATTGAGATAGACATACCCACCCCTGCCGTAATCGCGCGATGCGTTGACAGCACGATCAACGTACTTGGACCGGACCTACAGGATGTTGCAAAGGCAAGGGATCTGATCATGACGCTTGTAGGCCTCTTCCAAAGCGATGCGGATGAGTTGATTATCATCGAGAGTCTGCGTTGCCAGGAACACGTTTCGCTATACGCCCCGGGCCACATGGAGTTCTCGGCCTACGTGAAACAATTACAACGGGCGGTTGAAAGCAGCTCGACACAAATTCGAGACATGGCTATCGACGGTTTACATAATCTTATGAGGCGCAACACGGAAGAAGTCATACGCGCTGCTGATTCTGGACTAGAGGATCAGTTGTGGCATGTCCTCGATCGTGATTCTGAGCATGAAGTGGTGCGAAACATCATCCGCAATTGGTTACATCAGACAGGCTTATCAGATACTGCGACGTGGGTGCAACGATGCCACTCAGTACTCACGAAAACGAAGAAGGTCGAGACGCAAGACAAGATCGAATCGAAGCCAAAAGCAGGGGCGACTGATCTGCAGGACGAGGAAGTTGCAGGCTTTGCATCAGCGTCTAATGCGCCAGGAGCTGAGGCTGGAGATGGTGCCCAAGTCAGTCAGGAACTGCTCAAGTGGCAAGTGCGAACATTTGGTATGGATTGCTTGAGCGAGCTCGTTGCGATGGTGAGCAAAGAGGCTACATTCCGAGAAGAATCACCTTGCGTCATGGCCTTGCAGCAAAGGGTTGCTGATGTTGTGCGCATCGCTTTCTCTGCATCTACAGCCGGTGTAGTACAGCTGAGGATCCGCGGTTTGAAGATCATTGACCAAGTGCTCAAGCTATTCGGCAAGACACCCGACCCCGACTTCGCCGAAGTCACCTTGCTTGAGCAGTACCAGGCTCAAATCGGTTCAGCTCTTACCCCAGCATTTGCAGCAGATTCATCGCCCGAGCTCGCCGCTGAAGCGGTCAACGTATGCGCCACATTCATTGCTACCGGAATCGTTACAGATGTAGATCGAATGGGCCGTATCCTCAAATTACTCGTCTCAGCGCTTGAAAACTTCTCTAGCGAATCCGAAACCGCAGCAATCGGCGATCTTAAAGGACTCAGCTCGAACGCTCAAGTCATGGTCAAAATGGCAGTCTTCTCGGCTTGGGCAGAACTGCAAATTGCGAGTGCTGAGCAAAGCTACTTGGTGGATGTATTGAAGCCACACATCGCAAGGTTGACCCCTCTTTGGCTAGCTTCGTTACGGGAGTATGCCCGTCTAAGGTTCGAGCCTGACATTTCCTCTTCCATGGGTTCCGCCTCTCTATCTGGTAGTCTGGACACAATATATGCAGCGCTCAATCGTGAGACGCTTCTGAAGGTATGTTTGGTCGCCGAAAACCTTAATCATTGCTAACAAAGTGCAGTTCTACCAAGATACCTGGCTCAACCTTGTAGATGCCATTGCCAGCCTTATCGACGAAGACAGCGAGTTTGTGTTTGACGCTCTAGATGGCAAGACCGAATTGTCGGAATCTACCCCCAATGGGAAGTCTGATCATATCAACTACCGCGATGAGCCTGTCGCTTTCTTTTTTGTCCTCTTCGGTCTCGCGTTCGAGGCCTTAGCAGGTCGCCCAGGTGATCTACAAGCGTCTAAAGAGCAAATACTGGAGATATTGCAGGCACTGAAGAAGATTCTGCGACCTTCAGTATCCGGTCATGCAATCTACCGAGAAGTTGTGTTTTCCGAAACGATGGACATGCTAGATCGGCTCGTGCTCACTGAAGGCTTAACGGTACAAACAGTCATCGTCGAGATCACACGGAACCTGTGTCTTGGCCATCCATCTGCACGCAGAGACCAAGGGTAAGGACACCCCCAAAGCTCTACACTTAGCTTGCTGATATTGATAGAACTACCGCCGCGGATGAACATATTTCCGAAGACATTGATCAGCTATTCGAATTGACCAAGATCATGGTGCTAGTCCTGTCCGGACTTGTGCCTGGGCTAGAAGATAGCAAGGCCAAGGGTATGTTGGTTTCAATATCGCATCATAATCAGTCACTAATCTCACTCCTAGCGCGCCACGAGATGAATGAAGAGGCGGTCGCTCTACTGACGACGGCGCTTTCCGCCCTCGTAGATGCCGCGCAAGTCTTCCCATCGATCATTAAGGCTGACCTTCACGCTTGCATCCTACACATCTTCGCGACCATACTAAGCACTGGGGCATGCCAAACCACAGTCATTCCTCAGGCACTTCCAATCTTCAAGCGCTTCATCACCAGTCTCGCACCGCATGCCGAAGGGACGGATGACACAAGCAAGCAACTACGCGCAACATTAGCGCGCTTCCTCGCTATTCTCAGATATGCACAGCAGCGTGAGTTTGATGCTGCTCTTGCGTGCGAGAAGAACACCGTTCTTGCGACTACAATCTTACTGAGTTCCGCCGCCTCTGCCTTCTCTCCTGATGATCCGCTTGTCAAGCGCTTCATCGACGACCTGTTCGACTGTCTTGGCACGGTAACAACAAGCAAGGTAGCAGCAGGTTGCTGTCGCTCACTTCTGCTTCTACCCAAGAAGGGCGCTCTTGAGACGAGCCTTGCTAAACTCATCCTTCCTCCAACGCTATCTTTCTTGGTAAAGCCCTCCGATGTAGAGGGTCTTGACGACTCTCGCACGACGCTCGCACAAACTCTTGTCACATTCATTTCCACGCTACCACAACCGCCACAGCGCCAGACTGCGACCAAGATCATCATACCTGCGCTGTTGACAAGAGCGCAGAAGGAGCCCAAGGCCAGCCAAGAAATTGCGGCGCGCTTACTGGAGATCGCTAGTGCGGATCAGCAGGCATTTAGGGGCGTGGTGACTGGGCTGAATGCCGACCAGAGGAGTTTCATGGAGGGCGTACTGAAGAGTGGGCAAGGGCCGAGAAGGCAGGAGGTTAGTAGAGAGGATGACGGTATGCCAAAGATCGCGCTCAAGATGGACTTTGGCTCATAAGGCACGTTGTACTTTGTACGGCGTTGATCTTGTAGGTGGATTCCAGCTCTCGCTACATTCTCTTCAATGCGCGGTTGACTTTTCTGATCTGGATGCTCAGCTTACTACATGTCAGCAAGAGAAGGAGCGTGCGCTGCGCGGGTCACATGCATGCATAGGCTCTATTGAAGGACAAAAGCCCACCATGAACACGGTCTGTGTTGTAGGTAATGCTTATTGGTCGCTCTCTCTGGCGATTGTTGGCTTTGTGCGCATCTTCAGGCTGGACAGGAAGTCATGGTTGAGCACATTAGAGCTAATTCCTGCAACGGGGCGTTCGAGCTAGACGCATTCCGGCGAGTTGCAGATCAGAAGCATGTAAGCCACATGGTGGCATTATACTCTCACCATGCAATAACGTTCGATGTTGGATCTTGACCAGTACTTACCGTGGCTGCCTACCCGTGGTGTGAGGAGTGAGCAGGTGTTATTGGTAGGACATTTCCGAGCCTCCGGGAGACGGCTCACCACCGCTGCTCTCGGAAGGGGCTGCGGGTATCACAGAACTACGCCTTCTCAATTCCGTCGCCAAGCTGACGACCCAATTTTCATGTGGGTTACATGTCGCGACCCGTCCCTTGGAGAAGGTATGAGCAAGAAAACGCCACGCCTGCGATTCACGTCTGATCCTGCCGGTCGGTGTCTTTGCCTGTTCAGGTGTTGCTCGCCACAAAATAAGTGGACAGCCAGACAGATGTACGAGATATCTTATCGGCTTACGGTCGTCTCGATCTTTTCGGAGTATTCCCAGTTCCTTTATCTTCCGCCGCAGTCTCAGTGCTAAGACTCTGGATGTTCTCTCTACTGCAGGCCTTTTCACTCTTTCCCTAACTCTCTGCCTCCAGAACTATTACTCTCGTTCCTTGCTCAGCGAGACTTCAGACCCCATCAACTTGCCAACAACGCCCAAGGACGGCGCCATGTCGCACGACCCCGAAGTCGAGCACAAAGCGGCTCTTAGCCAAGTCCACGATGTCCCCCACGAAAGTTCGCATGGATCGGAGAAAGACGCAGGATATCCCAATAATACCCTAGATGGCGACAACACTGTTGATACCAACTTCCAGGCTGGTGTTCAAGATATCGAGGCCGTTACTCTTTCCTGGACGACCGGAGCGCTGGTGACTGCCTACATTCTCATATGGATGGTGTACTTCATCCAAGGCTTGGTTGGAGGAATCAGCGGCGCTCTACTACCCTACGTAACCTCTTCCTTCGCCCTCCACTCCCTCACTCCTACCACCAGCGTTCTGAGCTCTGTCATTGGAGGCGTGACGAATCTCAGTATAGCCAAGGTCCTGGACGTTTTCGGCCGCCCGCAGGGATTCCTTCTCTGCTCCATACTCGCCACTGTTGGGCTTGTTATGTCGGCTGCTTGCAACAATGTTGAGGCATACGCTGCGTCGCAGATCTTCTACACCGTCGGCATCAATGGTGTTGGATATAGTCTAAGCGTATTCGTCGCAGACACGACAACGTTGCGCCACCGAGGTCTTGTTCAAGCTCTGGCTGCCTCGTCCTCTTTGATCACAGCCTGGTTGGGCGGGCCAATCTCTACGGCATTCCTTAACGGAGCCGGCTGGCGTTGGGCCTTTGGCATGGAAAGCATCCTCGTCCCGGCGGTCACTCTTCCTCTGTTTGGTCTCTTCACCTATTATTACTTCAAGGCGAAGAAGCAAGGCCTGGTACCTCAGCGGTCGAGTGGACGCACATCCTGGGAGTCATTCAAGTACTACATGCGCGAGTTCGATGCTGTTGGTCTTTTCACGCTATCTACTGGATTCGCCTTCTTCCTTCTGCCCTTCAATCTCTACACTCTGCAAGCTAAGGGATGGGACTCACCCATGATCATCTGCTTTCTCGTCTTCGGTATCGTCTTATTGATTCTGTTCGGAATCTGGGAGCGATTCTTTGCTGAGATCTGCTTCATCCCCTGGAACCTACTTCTGGATCGCACTGTTGCTGGGTCATGTCTCTTGTCCTTTGCTCTCTTCTTCAGCTATATGTGCTGGAGTTTGTACTTCACCTCCATCCTGCAAGTCGTCAACAACCTCAGCGTTACGCATGCCAGCTACATTATGTCGACCTACAGCGTTGGCGGCTATATCTTCGCTGCCCTTGTCGGTGGCTTCATATCCTATACTGGAAGGTTCAAACCAGTCACTCTCTTCTTCTCAATCCCTATGGTGGTACTCGGAACTGCACTACTCATTCACTTCAATCAGCCCACGGACAAGATTGGTTATATCGTCATGTGCCAGATCTTTGCCGCGTTTGGTGGTGGTGTGATGACGATCACAGCCGAGATTGCCATCCTGGCCGCAGTCAAGGAACAGCAATACTTCGCTGTCGCCATCGCCCTGGTTTCAATGTGTGGAGGTGTTGGTGGAGCCATTGGACTAACGGTCTCCTCTGCAATTTGGCAAGACGTGGTCCCCAAGAAGCTTATGGAGTATCTTCCGGCGGAAGAACTTCCAAACTTCTTGATGATATACGCGGACATCACGACTCAGCTGTCGTACCCAGTTGGATCACCCACTCGTTTGGCGGTACAGAGGGCTTACGGAGATGCACAAAGATATCTGTTCATTGCAGGTACTGCTGCATGGATCATCGGTATAGCTGGCGTGCTCATGTGGCGAAACATCGACGTTATTGGCATGAAGCAAACAAAGGGCCGTGTATTCTAAGCCACATCAACATCTCGACACAGCTGTTGTTAAAAAAGCGGGAAATCATTCTTCCAGCGTTTTTGTCTTGGAAGCAAACAATCTGAGACCTACAGTACCTGATTCACCATGTATTGGAGACCTCTCTCTTTAATTCTTGTTACATTGGCGAGTCGCCCGTATACTTTGTATTATCGTAACCTCTTCTCATCGTTGATGTATTGTTGCGCGCTTGCCAGAAAAACGCCGGATGCATGATATGCAAACTCATGAAATCCTCCCAAGTTCCTCATATATATACACCACGCATGCCTTCCATAACTCCCTCCTCTTTATTACCCTACCCATAATCTGAGAAACCTCAGCAATGCATGCCATAGTGTGAAAACGCTTGCGACGGATCAATGACGATGGAATCGTCCAAGTTTGTGAAAGCCAACAACTCCGAATTGATGTCGTAAGCGCCAGAATCATCGAATGTAAGATCAAGACTTTGCTGTGTCTGTAGCGGGGTCATGAAGTTGCTGCGCGCGTCAGTATCATGGCTTGCGTAGGTTCGTTCACTCATCACTTACGGATCCCAGTTGCCCCACAACTGAGCGATCATCTCATCATCGAGATGAACCTGCCCATTCGACCCATTCGCGTCTGCGTTGCTCTGTTGGGCCTGGCCCGTGATGCCCAGATCGGCAAGACGGATTGGTGTCTCCTCAGTCACCATTTTGGTAAAGCCAATCTGCTCCATGCCACGTGTAAGCTCCAACAGCTTCTCAATATGCGCGCTATACCGGGATGTTCGAGTGTGTGCGAAGGCAAGTATGAAGATCATGATCAGACGTAGTATACAAGTGCTGTCAAAAGCCGTCAAGCTCGATAATGTGCCATCGTTTGCCATTTGCGTCAGTATCGAGATGCTCTTCTGTGCGGCGTCAATGCACATTTTGCCCATCCGCTCGAACCATATCCTTTTGCTCGAAGCCAGTGTTCCGTGCTTGATGACGAGGTATAGAAGGAACGGCCGCGTGAGGAGTATCGTGGTACTCCAATATTGGAGATGCAAGATTGCGACTGCGCGCCGGTGCGTGGGGGGCGAGGGTACGTCGTATTTGAGATGTGGCGGCATCTGGCGATACCATTTTTGCAGCAGCAACAGAGAATTAGACACGGTTGAGAAGGATATTGAGTTTGCCGAGCGCTCCATGTAGACTGATTGTATGATCTCACGTTTCAAGCGACAGAGAGACACCGATGTCGCCATCCATGATAGCGGGGTATGGAGTCCGGGATATAGTATCTCATGACCGTTAGTATGGGCGGGTTATGAATGGGCGATTCCAGACTTACCTGCTCTGAAGGCATGGGCGTAGTGACCTTCGTAAACCGTTCATCTATGACTGTCGGACTCCCGCCTCGCGAAGATAATTCTTGGTCGAGCTGAAACAGTGTCCACCAGATTCTGCGATTTTGTTCTCGCTCCATTGCAGTTCCCGACTCAGCCAATTGATCACGATGTAAACCTAGAGAAAACGCCATCTGAACGCTAGCGCCCATATACAGATAAGCGCTGACCCTGGAGCAAAGGTTCTCCATAGCGATGCTCTGAGCAGTGGTCAGCCATGCCGAACACAGTTTCAGCAATACCAAATGTACATACCATCGTGGCCATTGCACGTATACTATCGACATCGGCCTCATCATATACTGCGGGAATGAGTTGTTTTGCAAGTGTAAGGTAATCTTCGGATGTCTTCAAGTCCAATGCAGCTGGCCAATCCGGGGGCGGGGATTTACCATTGGCGCCTACATAGTTGGCTGCGCCAATAGCGAACATCGTATACAAACAGCACATCCAGGAGCTTGATGAGCGCGGCGCCGATTCCGAGTACGTATTATCTATTCGTCGAAGCAGGTTTTCTACTGGGTATAGCCAGTACGTGCAATGGACGTCCTCTAGAAACCGGGAGATGTAGACGTCGCACAACTCTCGACCTGGAAGGTAGTAGCTCTCTTCAAAACCAGGGGAATTAGAAGGCGAGGAGCTTGGTAGAGTAGGCGGATATGAGCCTACTTTGGGGCCTGGGATAATCGACGGGTCCTTTCTTTGCATACCCAAAGTGGCCACAGCAGCATTAAAGGGGATTTCACTGTGAGCGCCAACGTATCGAAATTTCCCTCTGGAGTCTTTCATCATGCAGCCCAATGGCTCATGCAGTTCCTGTACGTCTTGTTCCTCGCCATCATCAATACTCTCTGCATCTTCAGGCGACTCTTGCTCATTACTGAAGAGGCCTTCGGTATGCTGGACAGGCTCCGCATTGAACGTGCCTTCCTTGATGGCTTTGGCAATGGTTCGGAGAGATTGCAGGTTCAGCTCATGTCCAGGGAAGAAATGTTCGAGGATGCGCATAGAACATTGATATTCCTCCTCAGTGACATGGTAATAAGGTCTCTTCCTTCTTGGGGTAGCGATTGTGCACACCGCGCCTGTGCGCGCGCAGTAACGACATGGTCCCGGAACTTAAGATTGTCAGCTTGTGCCATTATCGGCACGATCGTACTACCGGTGGGAGAAAACCCATACCAGGATCAATACACTAGAGGTAGTCATTAGTTTCTTGGCACTGATGGACGTGGAGATGCCTTAAGCTACCTTTGTCTTCCTACTGCGACACCGATCACAGCTGCTGTGGACACGATGGGCGTTCGGAGCTCTGCTGGATGGGGGTGCCGAAACTCGTGGCGGGGCGACGGCCGCGTACTCGGCCATATTTATCCGACACCCTCGACAGCCCGGCCGAGTGAGATGACACTAGCGGCGATACGAAATTTTCATTCGGCAGGCTTGCAGCAGTTCGTGGAGAAGTCATGGAGCATCGAGCCCGCTGCAGTTGAGGATAAAGGAAAAGGGATCCCATTTCTAGCGGGGGATCTGCTGGGGCATTGCGCCCGCGCAAGGCCACCCTGCAGAACCTGCCGGTCGGCTAATCAAAATCTATAGCGAACACAGAATAGCGCTGGAGACACGGCAAATCATGTCGCAGCTGATCGATTCATGTCGCAATATTTAAGATATCTTAATCAAGACACTCTTTGTTTCCAGAAAGTTGTTCAGGGAATACAGAGGCTCGCCTTCGCGTCCTGATCCTGATGACTTGTATCCACCGAAGGGCATGTCTACGCCGGTGACTGTCGTCGGGTCAGCGAATGCATCACGTACCATCCGAGCGAAGGTATATTGCTTACCTGGTGAGGTGCAATTGACGCCGACCGTACCAGCTTCAAGCCCTGTTGCGAAGCGCATCGCGCGATCGATGTTCTTGGTGTACACTGATGCATATAGTCCGTACCTAAACAGAATTAGTCAATGTTTGTTTCAGCTTAGCCACGCTAGGGACCATGAGACGAACTCTGTTGCATTAGCCTTTGCGAGCACCTCTTCCTCATTTTTGAAGACGTTGATGTTGACAACTGGGCCAAAGATCTCTTCTTTCATGATCTTTGCGTCTTCTGGTGTGTTCTTAAAGATGGTGGGCTGGATGTAATAGCCTTCGCGGTCCGATGGAGCTCCGCCACCAGTGAGAAGTTCGCCGCCAGATTGCTTTCCCGATTCCAAATATTGCAACACAGTCTTGTGTTGCGCCTCGTCAGCTTGTGGGCCATGATTGACGCCACTCTCGCGCGCATCGAGCGGATCGCCCATTTTGACTTCTTTCTCAAAGTTCTCTTTGAAGAGCTCAATGTACTTATCGGCAACCGTATCCTGGACATAAATGCGCGAGTTCGCCATGCAGACTTGACCACTGTTCCACTGGATGCTATGAGCCGTTTCTTTCACGGCCTTTTCCAGATCGGCATCTTCGAAGATGACCGCCGGAGACTTGCCTCCAAGTTCGAGGAACACTTGCTTCATGTTGGACTTTGCGGCGGCTGCCTGAATCAAACGTCCCGTGCGACTTGAGCCTGTGAACGATAACGCTCGCACATCCATGTGGTGGCTCAAGATGGATCCGCTAACATTGCCGAAGCCGGTGATGATGTTGATCACACCTGGGGGAAAGCCAGCTTGCTGTACCAGAGTGGCGACTTTTGCGGACTACCATCATCAGTCTATTGCATGAGTGTGGAAGGGATGACGTACAGTCAATGGTGCCTTTTCAGAACTCTTCAAGACAACAGTGTTCCCGACAATCAGAGCAGGTGCTAACTTGTTTGCCAAAAACAACAATGGAACGTTCCAGGGGATAATGCCAGCTACAACACCATAAGGTTGACGCAGCGTCATGTTGACATATCCCGGAGTCTGGACGCTCGTGGTACCTGTTCAATGTTAGTAACCTGCTGCAAAACTCACTCAACCATCCTACCTTGCACACTGTATCCAGCTTCTGCATAACGATCCCATTTCGCCGCAGAAGCATAGGCATCGAAGAACTCGCCTACCGGACGACCCATAGAGCTTGCTTCTAAAGCGGCCAATTCATCGTTGTTCTCTCGGATCAGACTAGCCAACTTCTTGAAGTATTGGCCTCTTTGTTCTGGAGTCAATCTCGACCAAGCAGGAAAGGCGGCTTTTGCTGCAGCGACAGCATTGTCGGTGTCTTGCTCAGATGCCTCGTGGACTGTAACAAACGTAAGTCTGTTTTCTCCGAAGTTGGTCGTTCCAGACTCACCTTTTGCTACGAGCTTCAATGTGGCGGGGTTGGTAATGTCAAAGGTATTTCCATTTGATGATTCAACAAACTATAAAATAGTCAGCGGAGGCATAATCAATTGATTTAAGAGAGCCAACCTCTCCATTGATGAAGAGACGCGTCTCGATTTTTTCCGGCAGACCCATTTTGACGGCAGAAGTTCTAGAGCAAGTATATGCAAGCGTCCCTTGAGAAGGGTTCAAAGGATTGTGGCAGCGTATGCTATCTCTCTCTGGGAGACAGGTGCGGTAAATTTGGAGAAGCAGCGAGGCTGTGGCACGGCGTTGCTTCGATGACCCCACCTCGGTGCCGTCTTGCTCCACATGTTCTCAAAACGTCCCGCCGGAATTATCAACCCGCGGCTTCAGACATGTCGCGTCCATATCACCGCCAATACAGGTGAGCCCATTCGCGGAGCTGTCGCCAGAGTTCCACTCTTGCGGCGAATCTCACGTGGCTGGGGAATAGTTCCCTATATCGCTGACAACTTCGTGTTGGACTGAGGATGATAAGAAGCGGCGTATAGCCTCAGCGGTCGGTTGACTTGCACTTTCATAATCTCTCCGAGACGCCAGCATCATGGGTAGCGAGATCGAGCAATTGAAGGCCATAGTGGGGAAGCTTCAGGCGGAGGTAACGCGTTTAAGCGGCATGTGCTTAGTCAGCTATCGATTAGTCTCGTATGGCTTGCTAACGGAACATCAGATCAAGAGGACATTCGCAAGCTTCAGTACACGTACGGGTATTATCTCGATAAGTGTCTGTACAAAGAGGTTAGTAGACCGAAGATCCTATTTAACTAGAAGCTCATCTTAACAGGTCGCCAACCTCTACGCCGATCACCCTGACACATGCGTTGAGTTCCTCGGAGGCCGATACAATGGCAAGGAGGGCGTTAAGAGACTCTACATCGGTCGCTTTGCGAATGCCTTCGTAGCCGGACGCAATGGCCCTGTGCATGGGTTTCTTCTCGATCATCCACAGATGCAGGGCATTGTCGACGTCAACGCAGAAGGCACCCAAGCCAAAGGTCGCTTCCGGAGCATGATGTCGGCCGGTACCCACGATAGCATCAAAGACACACACCCTCGCGGCCTGGTGCAATGGTGGGAAGGTGGCATATACGAGAACGAATACATCAAAGAGAATGGAGTGTGGAAAATCTTCAGGTTGAAGTACTTCCCCTTCTGGCACGCGACCTTCGAAAAGGGGTGGGCGCACACCAAGCCGAACTACGTACCTTTCCTCTCAAAGACGTATCCGGAGGATCCAAACGGGCCAGATGTTTTATGCGATCGTCCGATGCTCTGGCCTGACACGCGTGTTGTGCCATTCCACTACAAACACCCTATCACCGGTGAGCAAGTCGCTAATGACGATCTTCGAGCTCCACACTTTGGTCAGGATGCTTCAACAAGCAATCCTCCACTCGTGCTGAGCGAACCACAATCCGAGACGGATACGACTGTTTAGTTTCAACTGCTGAATGACTCAAAGACTATACCGCACGCTCTATGTTTTGCTTCGGCGCATCAAGATGCCGTTCTTCTCTTTGTGCAATCTCGATTGGATTTGCTCAACTATTCAAACAGGCTTGCCCCTTTTTTGCTCGCATCGACGCGTCAGTGGTGTCCTCGGTATCGTACAGGAACAACGCGGTCGGGCCTCTTCACGTTCTCCTCCATGCCACCTGCTAGGTTAATTGAGGGCAGCATGTGCTATTTACTTCGTGGTCTCAGAAAACTGTTCAGCTTGGATTCCGAGTGGACCAGAAGATTTAACGCATAGCCTGTGCCTACCGAGACCATTCAAGTGCTTGTTATACATGTTGAGCAGGAATCGCTCGTGTTCTGACAGCCCTAATGCAACGCTCAAGATGCGCAGAAGGCTAGAGAAACCTCGGGATTGAACGAATCTACGCACTCTGAGTCACGGCAGAAGCCTTTTCAATCATAAACATTTGATCTGCAGTGTGTCTACTTTTCCCGGTCAATCATCCTTCTCAGCAGCTTGGATGCGGAACACGGGCAACTTCTATGTCCGAGGCAGCCGCATGGCATGACGTAGCATTGCTGTATTCGGACGAGGCCTTCCTACTCCAGCGTTACGGCTGTTTGCGTGTCCGAAAAACGCTACATCATCCCATGTCCAGTTTGCAACGCTGTGTCGGACCAATAGTGCCGCTTTCAATCCCGCGCGGTCGCATCAATCCGGGCACAACAACCCCTGTAACCATCCACAACTACCCCGCAAGCTCACTTCCCCACATCCATACTCGTAACTTTCGAGCACGGCAGTACGTCTGGTAGCAAACTAATGCGTCTCTTTTCCAGAAGGAAAACCTGTAACATGAGGGACAGTTTGCATTAGACTACCCTATTGCCAGTTGAGAGGGCACAACACGTACGTGATGGCACATATATTTTCTCTCGCGAACCCTGCCCCATCAGCGTATCATGAAGGGAGCCGATCGGGTGACCAAGTCAGGTTCCCAGATAGTGGCTTCTTCCAAGGCTTCAACAGGCCATCGCGACTCGAAGCCGATATCTTTGAGCTCGAGACGACTGGTACAGTGAGTATGCCGTCCTGTAGAGATGGAGCGCGGAGCTCAGTGCTTTCAGATTCCCAAAGATATAAACGGAACTTTTTTCCGTATACAACCAGACCATCGCTTCCCACCCTTGTACGAAGAAGATATACACTTCAACGGCGATGGTTCGGTCTCAGCATTTTGTTTCGAGAACGGTCACGTCGACTTCAGACAGCGATATGTACATACCGATCGGTTCAAGGCGGAAACGAAGGCACGCAAGTCTCTACTCGGCCGATACAGAAACCCGCATACCGATAATGAGATGGTGAAAGGTATTATCAGAACAGCTTCCAATACTAACATCATCTTCTGGCGCGGGGTGCTGCTAGCCATCAAGGAAGACGGCCCGCCTTTCGCTATGGATCCAGTAACATTAGAGACAGTTGGCCGGTATGACTTCGACGGTCAAGTACAATCCCCAACGTTTACTGCGCACCCTAAATTCGATCCAGACACTGGAGAAATGGTATGCTATGGCTATGAAGCGGGCGGTAACGGGTACGATGCCAGTTGTGACATTGTTGTATACACTATCGACAAAGATGGGAAGAAAACCGAGGAATGCTGGTATAAAGCGCCATTCTGTGGGATGATACATGATTGCGCTATCACGAAGAACTACTTGATCTTACCACTCACGCCGATCAAAGTCAATGCTGAGAGGCTCAAAAAGGGCGGCAATCACTTCGCTTGGGATCCAGATGAAGACCAGTGGTATGGCATAGTGCCTCGTCGAAATGGAAAGCCAGAGGATATCGTCTGGCTACGCGCCGACAATGGTGTGTATGCCGCTTGCAATATGTTGACATATGCTGACAATAACAGGCTTTCACGGTCATGTCGCTGGCTCCTACGAAGACTCGTCAGGCAACATCGTGGTCGACCTGACCATAGCTTCAGACAACGTCTTCTTCTTCTTCCCACCAGACAGCCAAGCAGACACACCCACGACGTTACTCCAGCGCAACAAGCTCGTCTCCGACACTTACCGCTGGGTCTTCGATCCCAAAACTCCCACCAACACGCGGGTACAACCTCATAAACTCTTTGGCATCAACGGCGAGTTCTCTCGCATCGACGACAGAGTTCTGACGAAGAAGTACAACCACTTCTGGCAATGCAACATCGACCCGAGCAAACCGTATGACTTCCAGAAGTGTGGCCCGCCAGCCGGTGGTCTCTTCAACGTACTGGGACACTACGAGTGGGAGAGTGGAAAGAAAGATACCTTCTGGGCAGGACCGACATGTACGTTCCAAGAGCCTGTCTTCGTTCCGAAGGTCTCGTCTTCTTCATCAGATTTCGTAGAGGGTGAGGGGTATATCATGGCTTTGCTCAATCATCTCGACGTCTTGCGCAACGACATCCTTATCTTTGATGCGCAAAACCTTTCCCAAGGGCCACTAGCAGTCATTCATCTACCTGTCAAGTTGCGTCTGGGCCTGCATGGTAACTTCATCGAACAGAAAGACATCGATGAGTGGGCTGAGAAGCGCAAGGAGGGCGGCGAGGTTGGACCAGCGGTGCCGGCGAAGGAGATGTTGCCATGGCAGAAGAAGATGGCAGAGGAGGAGGGCCTTGGGATTGCGGTACCAGTGCCGGGAAAAGATTCTCTCGACGGGTCGAACGGCACGATTGGGCTCAACGGTAACTGATTCCACGGTGAGGCTTAACTAGCAAGGAGAAACTGCTAATGAAACTCGACCTCGATCGTGCTCTTATATCTGTCTCCCCTGTTTGAACGGTGCAATTACTGGAACTCCGTTGACCTGAACCGTTTGGTTGTATACGAATGGCAAGCACGAACTGCCTGCTTCAAATTAGTATAGGTACCAGTCAATACTCTCTTCCAATTTACGCAATCACTCCTGTGCAGTTCCACCCCGACCTATATAGCAGCCTTACAGACTGGAAAAGACCAGTTCTAGACTCCGACTACAATTCTTTGACTCCTCAAGAACTTACTGTGGTGAATGGGGTGCACAGACATCAGGCCCTCTTTCTTACCATTCGAGTGATGGGGCCACCTCTAGTGCTCAGGTGGTGATAAAATGAGCTGGTTCATATAAGGGGAACGGTGCTTTCCATGACCACGGGCCCATTATCTCCAGTCCGGCTGGTCAACTGAATACCGACTTACCAGAACCTCGCTTCGAGCACGCCCATCTACCCACCAAGCAAGATCAGGGACCGACCAGAGATCCCCATCAAATCGCCATCAATTATGGACACTACTCCAGCTCCATCCTCAAGCTTGAATTACAAGGCCTTGCGCAACGCTCGAAAGTCTGCAGGAAGGGTAGCGAGGGGCAGTGGAGTTTTCATAGCCAACGAGCAGGGAGCTTGTGTCGAAGGATCGCCATATACCGAGACACTGCCAATCGAAGATACGATGCAGTACGAGTGTTGCATCCGCAGATCGCAATTGAGCAGATAGCAAGAGGAGGAGGAGAGCCGAGAGCCGTTGGATAGATAGATAGAGCTACAACAAGACCTAGTAAACAGCGCGTAAGTTGAGACATTCATACTCCAGCACAGGGTGAAGGAGATGGGTCAGAGTCGATCTTCCCAATGGTCGTGTATTGCATGATGGGACCAATTACGAAAAGGGTATAGCGTAGTCGACGATAGCCCAGAATGTGGGGGGCAGCGTGTCACATGCCACACCTTTGTCTCTGTTTGAGCCATGTGAATGCGTATTGGAGGTGTCGGCTGAGCCTAGGTGGTCTAGAGGGGTGTCATCCGTACGCTGGTATCGCAGTGAGGCTGGCGGGGGTGCTGTGGTGGTGGTGCAGAGGGACTGGGGGCAATGAAGTACTCGTCGCTGTGGCTAAGGACATCATGGTGGGAATGATGCGAAAGCGTGCAGAGCATGGAAACCCCCAACTACTCTGGAGTAGGCGCCTCGCGTCGACAGGACTGACGATAACGTAGTGGTTGCGATGGCGGGCTGGGAGTGGGGAAACTTGCATGGCGTGACACTCTGCGCTGATTGGCCGAGTGGGTGGCTGGCTCCGCCAAGTTCTGGCTCGTTTCTAGTCGGGCTTCCCTGCTGCTTCTCCCCGGGGCCAGCATAAGATCCATAGCGTCCGCTGCCCATGTGACCGTCTCTCATCCATCGTCGCCTCGTGATTCAAGTCGGTCGTTCAACTCTGCTGATAATCCTGCCTGAAGAAAGCCCAGAGTCTGCAGTATCGAGGTAAGAAGCTTTCTGTTCTTTTTTTCCTGCCCGAAAGTGTGCATCCGCCTTGTCGAGCGCCGCCGGTCGAGCAAGTTGTTACGCCTTCGCCCGTCACCTGATATCGCGCATCCATTTGGAACATCACGGGCGAGCCCTGTACCGTCCATCGGTAAGTGAGCATCATGGCTCTTTTCGCGCGACCGCCGCAAAGCCCTGCATAGACGTGCGCAGCCTGCCTGCGCTTCTGCACGGCCTGTCGCCTGCTGGGAGAAGCGCACCTGGCGTCGTGGTAGCCTCGAGCCCGCCCGCTCGCTCGCTGGCCGCGGTGGTGTTGTCGGCATCCCGCACTTGAGGGACGCGCGCATCCACCACGAAACGACGCACGACGCCATTGTGCACTTCCTACGACCCACCCGCTCGCACGATACGACGGCTCTCTTTTGAGTCGTGACAGCTGCGTCTCACAGCAACGGCCAAATGGATGCGCCCAATCCTTCTGCTTGCTGGCGCTTTGTCGCACCACCTTGACCTACTCACCTGCTCGCGCCCGTGCTAATGTTTGTCGAACGCAGGCCTCTGTATGCGCTCCCCAAGCGCATGACTGCTACATCAAGTCGTCTCCGGCTTGCGCGTGAATTGGTGGGCACAGCGCCGCTGCTCTCCCGCCTCGGTGCTTTGCGCCTGCGACTCACGCTTCGAGCGCGTCTGTTCTGCTACCTTCACCAGCCTTCCCATACGTCACCCGCCTAAATCACTCATCCCCGGCTACCTCTTGGTCGCCCAAAGGAGCATTGCGTTCTCGCCAGGCTTCAGCGCCCTCACTCACCATTGGCCCTGTACATCCCAGGCCTCGCCGATCCTAGCGTCCAACGCGGATTCCAGCTGCTTCTATTCATCCCTCCGAGATATCCCACCAGACACCATGGCTGATACCGCCGGATACCCTACCGACGGCAAGCTGGATGCACACAACGTCCACACCAACAAGCGGAAGCGCGACACGCGCGATCAAGGACTGAACCGACCTGCTCCCCATTCCGCCAACAACGACCTCACCGACCAAGCCACTGCCTCATTTCTCGCCGCGCACAACGCCGCCGACGACGATATGCAGCAACAGTTCGACGTACACCACAACGGTGGGACCAACACTGCCAGTGTCGGCGACACCGCCGCCGCCGCGCTTGCCTATCACCAGATGACGGTCCCTCAGGCGACAGAACTCCAGTTCCAGACACAGAACTCAGGCGACGGCTCCTTCAGCATGGGAGACCACGGCCAACAACAAACGGGCATGCAAGACTTTAGTCTCGAAGCTTTGAAGGCTGCTACACAGACGGGTCGTCCCGGTCAAACAGCACCCAGCGACTCGCCACCGCAAAGCGCCGCGCACAAACCTCAAGTCGGCACCGATGAGTGGCACAAGGTCCGGAGAGACAACCACAAAGAAGGCAGGCATTTGTGCGAGCCCTCCTAGATACAGTTGCTAACAGCTGCATAGTTGAACGCCGCCGTCGCGAGACCATCAACGAGGGAATCAACGAACTAGCCAAGATCGTCCCCGGCTGCGAGAAGAACAAGGGCTCCATCTTGCAACGGGCTGTCCAATTCATTACCCAGCTGAAGGAGAATGAGCAACAAAACATCGAGAAGTGGACCCTTGAAAAGCTACTTACCGAGCAAGCCATCACCGAGCTCAGCGCTAGTTGCGACAAGTTCAAGGCCGAATGCCAACGGGCGTGGGACGAATGCAATATCTACAAGCGCACATGCGAAGCTAACGGCATCATACCCGACGAGATCAAAGAGCGTCAGGAGAATGGCGAACAGACGGGAGCCAATCCCATGTAGGACTGGGAATAAGCGTCGCTTGTCGATCATTTCATCGAGGCGACAGTAACCTTGTCTTGCTAGCCATGTTCAGGAGACATATATCTGTACTTCTTTTCCCGGCCTGTCGGTCGACTGTTCATTCCCCGCACTGGCAGTGCGGCAGACTATGTTATGTTCGGCGTACAGTTGTGGAGATATCGCTCGCTCTTTAGGGACGGTGTTTTCTTATTGGTTTGCATCTGGCGGCAGCGATCGCGGTGCGCTTGGGTAGGCCTCTCCCACACAGACAACTGAGGCTTCTCTTACGTCTTTTGAGGGCTAGCGACACATTTTACAGCAAGGAGGCGTTCTGTCAATGATGTATCACTTTCGGTAATCCATTGCTGATTATTTTACGATGAATGTTGTTGTGATGACTTAGGGATATGTCGCAGAGACGAATGTTTAACATGTTTTGCGCTAATCGGAACCCTGCTTATCCATCAGTTAGCGGACGGCTCATCCCACCTGCCGTGCATACACAGCGCAGCTCACCTTCTTGAACCGTGAAGACACCCCCCTCGCCGCCCTCACAGACTCTTCCGTCCCAGAATCATGTTCAGCACGTGAGAGAAGTCCCGGACATGATGGGCGCAGCACGTTTCGACCAACTCGTCACTCCCACACCCACATAATTCACGCGACCGACCATGGCCAACAGCGACGTGCCCGGAGAGCCACTTGTGCCTCCCGTACTGGATGCAGCTGAGCTGATTGGGAATTCGAGCGCCGATTTCCCGGTCATAGAGGCGGAGCCCGAAGAAGAGCTCAATCTGCCCCTCGATACCGCCGAGCAGCAGCGCATACTGCTGCAGCAAGACCAAGACCAGCCCCAAGCCGGGCCTCCCCTCACCCTGCCAGCCCGCCCCGGCCTACAACGAGGCAATTCAGTTCCTACGCCCGCGCCGAACCTGCCTCCGCCCGCACCACCTGTACCGCCGCCAGACACGCCACAGAATGACTCGCTTTCGCTCGCGCAACTGCAGAACCTCGTGAGGGGCATACCCAAGGTCGAGCCTGCCCCATACGCCTTTACATACGACGATGCATCGTCTTTCGAAGAAGAGCTGGAGGAGTGGTTCTCGTATGCAGTCGAGGAGCAGGCAATGCTGCTCAAAACCCAGGCGTCCTACGCATTGGAGTGGAGCGCATTCCATGGCCTAAACGACGTTTCTAATGGCGAGGACGGCTTGGACTGGGCCACGGCGACGACTACACAACACGTGGACTTCGTGCGACATCTATTGGGAGGACTCAAAGAAGTCGACCCTGTCTTGAGATTGAAGAAGCTTGAGGCATTGGTCTATGTCCTCCTTGGGTGCTGGCATGAGACTGCAGGGCTCCCGGACCCAGCTGTGAGCGAGGCACCAGAGTCGAGCACGACTTCAACGCGCAGCATCGCATATGTCAAATCCGGCCGGCAGGCCTCGCTTATCAAGCGCAACGTGCACCTGCTCGCCGAGAGTAATGGCGTACAGACCATTGTGGACGCACTCAGCTTGTCGCTCCTGCGAGCATGCGGCGCAGATGTCACACCTGAAGCTCAGCGCGATTCGAAAGAGGCAGAACGACGCGAGATTTGGTGTACCATGACTGCAGTCTATGTCTTGCTTGAAGTCGCGCGCGACGAGGAGAAGACGCAGGATAGCCGGACCCTCAGGACCGCCATTCTCGATCTAGAGAAACCAGGTCTTCTCATGCTTTTTGTGGATCTTATCGCGAAATTGCGTTGGGACGAGTCGATCAATCTACCTCTTAGCAAGATCTCACTGCTACTCTGGAAGGCCATGCTGGTGACTTTCGGCGGTCTCGGAGAAGTTGCCAAGGTCAAAGAGACCTTCCGAGACACCAACCTGGAGTCAGAGGATTCCAAGGGTCAGCCACTCATCACCGCTTCGCCTCTCGATTACCACCTCTTTAGACAAGAGATAAGCTCCAAATATCCCGCGTACAATCCACCCCTTCCCGTGTTTCCTCTTGAGCCGGAGAACAACTCCATCTTGCCGCCATTGAAGAACCATCCTAACAAGGTGGCTGGCAATCATGTCTTTGGCTCTGGGCTAGGCGACACAAATGGCAACAGCACATCCATCTTGCATCAACCGGTTCATATCGCAACTCCGGCACCCTCACCTCCTCCCTCGCCTGCAGGCCCCGGTGGCAAAGGCGGAAAGAAGCAGAACTACCAAACAAATCAGCTGTTCCCATTCTTGTATCCACCACTCGACGAGTCTAGTAACAAGTTGGGCGGAAAGGGCTCGACTGACCTACAGGACCTTCTGGTGGGACGCAAGTGGGAGGGCTCAGACATTCCTGCTTCTATCTTGGAAGCCGCGGAACTGTTCGCTAAACGCATGAAGGCCACACGTGCCATGAAGCAGCTATGGGAGGAACGTGTCGCATTTATGAAGTACGAGCGCGGTTGGACAGGCCCTGATGAGAACCCTGATATCGAAGAGCTGTCACTCGAACCAAGTGAGAAAGCTCAGCCAAAAGAACTTGCATCCGGCAGCAATGAGGAACGGTTGCACTTGGTCGAGGAATTCTACGTGAGTATCCAAAGATCAACAAGGATAAACAAGCTAACCGTGCAATAGCGCATCGCACTGCCCAACTTACAGTCACTAATCATTGTCTTGATCAAAGCCATTCTTGCGCACGTCACGGCACTCGTCACACAGTCCAGTGGCGCCAATGGGCTCCAGAGCGGGTTTCAATTTCAGGATAACCAGAACGGCACGACAGCTGGACGGCCAGACATGAGCGGCATGAACGGACATGGCAGTACCGTGGCAACGAATGAGGAGCTTGACGCAATGCGCACACAAGAAGTCCTGGACAAGGCAGTCACTGGCACCCTAATACTGATCCTCAAATGGTTCAAAGTGTCGCACGTCCTCAAATTCGAGTATATCACGCAGCTACTAGTTGACTCGAGCTACGTTCCGTTGATCTTGAAGCTACTACAGCTGCAAGAGGTCGAGAAGATTGTGAACTTCAAGAGCGAGCAGGAAGAGCTGAACTTCTTCAACTTTTGTCGAACACATTCCAGGAATGCCTCTGAAGAGGATCGTATTAGTGGAAATGAGGGAGAGGCGCATGACGGCGAATCTGACGAAGACGACGCCGTCCCACCCCCAATCCGTCTTTCCAGGGAGGACTCGAATGAATCAGGAGTTGAGCCGGCCCTACCGCCTGCCCAGCTGCAACCTCCAGAGGTAGACGAGCTCGGCTTTCCGACGAACGAGCTACCTAAAGAACCAATCACCAACTTCTCGTGGCGCGCGTTCTTCACGTCCATCAACTACCTGCGGATCATGCAGAAGATCTGCAAGAACAAGGCACATCGCAATCTCATGCTTGTTTCGTACAAGTCTTCGCAGTTCCTGCGCAAGAGCTTGAAGGTACCACAGCCGGAATTGCGCCTGTACACGCTCAAGCTATTCAAGAACCAAGTTCCGTACTGCGGTCGCAAGTGGCGACAGTCCAACATGCGTGTCATCACTGCAGTCTATCTACACTGTCGACCTGAGCTCCGGGACGACTGGTTAGCAGGAAGTGACGTGGATGCAGAGGTTGACGAAAGTGTCCCGCTCGAGCAGGCCTTACGATCACTCACACACTGGCACAACCTCAAGCGATACCCCGAAAGCTTAGGTGCTAAGCCTGGCGTTCTCGAGGAGGAACAAGATTTCTTCCGTAACGAACTTGAGAAGATGGACTGGGGTGAAGAGGCTGCGAATGAAGGCGAGCTAGAGCATGGCTGGCCGGATCTTCCGGTTGAGGGTTGGTGAATATCCTGCCCTCTCGCTCCTGAACATTCTAGCGCCTAGCACCTTGGTTCATCTGGTATCCAGTCTGGATACCATGTTAATATTCTTCGCAGATGATTCGCAACGCGGACAATTTCTCCAGCGACCCAAGTACCAAGTACACCGGCGCAGAGAAGCAGTGCGCAGTGGAAGATTGGCAAGACCAACACTTTCGCGTTCCATTTCCGAATCGGCTGCCAAAACATGGCCTGGCGCAACAAGGTCAAGAAGTTCAAGGCGTGTCTCCCGGTGGGATATTCACAGCGAACTAGAAGACCTCGTTATAGCATCGACACGTGCTGATAGCGATGACGACGACAATGACGAACATGCAAGGGATAACGAATCTGATGAGTCAAGGGAGGATCAAGTCAAGTTTCATTTAAATCATTTGAACGACGGCTGGCAGAGAAAAGGAACTCGAGAGCTGCAACGCGAGAGGAGAGCAAAAAGCGAAGGCACCGCACCTAGTCCAGAGAGCGTTTGATACGTGTAAGTGTGACGCGCAATGCTGAGGTCTTTCACCGTAAGCTGTGAGTTCGGCCAGGGATACCCATAGAATACAAAAGCATTCAGGAAACAAGCGCATTAAATACCGCATGCTTCGTATACACGCTGAGCGCTTGGACGTGATGAAGTGATATGGATGGTTGATGTTCAGATGCCGCGGCAATTGAGGCTAATATCGTCATCGCAGAGTTGTACTGACCAGATGGTGCAACAGTACACCGCGTTCGAGCTAGCACAGCAACAGGTCAGATAGTCTAGACAAAACCACCGCCAATTAGCCATCAGTATATCCGGCTTACCCAGGGTGCCTTTGCAAAAGAAGAAATGCGGCCCGTCTTGCCTGACTCGGGATGGCACTACCCCGAGCTCCCCACAGGTTGGGGTTGGCTAAAAGACGTCGGTGTCTGCTCTGTCGTCGGAATGAGTTGAACCCATTCGCTCTCCAATCTTCATCACTTTTCTTGTAGAGTTCTGTTTTGCGTCTTCTGCGTGCGTGCTTGTAAATATTCCGTATTGTACCACTACCTGAACGCACGACACCATGACAAAGGTTTTCGATTATGCCGAGGGTCAGTTACCGCTACGGCAATCCGATTGAACCTTCGTCGCTAATACTGCAAATCAGTCGCGCAGCACAACACAGCAGAGAGCTGCTGGGTAATTCTCTACGGCAATGTTTACGATGTAACGCGCTTCATCCCCAAGCACCCTGGCGGCTCCAAAGTCATCCTCCAACTCGCCGGCACCGACGCAACCGAAGAATACGATCCCATCCACCCTCCGGGCATCCTCGAAGAGAACCTCGAAGCTTCCGATAAGCTCGG